TCTTAGCCGAAACTTTCTTCTCTTATTGTCCTGTCTTTCGATTCAAGCTTCCGCATACCTTGTTCTACTATTTTGTTCAGATTTTTCTACACCACAGTATAGATGACTAAGGGAGTCAGTGATAGCGCTGTATTTAGCTTTCCACAATAGCCTCCCTAGCTTTTTGTGTGTGTGTATCCCAAACAGTTTGTTACAAATATCTAGGACCATACCTTAGAGGAGGATGCCAGGAAATAAAAGTTCCCAAACAGTTTGTTACAAATATCTAGGACCATACCTTAGAGGAGGATGCCATGAAATAAAAGTTCCCAAACAGTTCACCTCATCAAGAAAGCAATCAACGGCCAACGATCCGTTCAATCAAATGAGTGCGACGCGCATGAAATGCATTTTGCTATCTTATTGTCACTTGGAATAACCCACCAAACAATGGCGGCGGCGGCAAAGTGTGATTTTCCCACCTACTAGAGTTACTCGACAAATCATGCCTTCAAATAGCGTACTTTACACGAATCCCAATTAGTGGTACTCCCAGGCCGCCCCCCCCTCCACCCGCCCCATCTACGCCACCGTACACTTTTTTTTCACGCCCCTGAATTGCATTAATGTTCTAGTCCTCTACCCTCTTTTACACCACATTTATATTACAAAAATAATTTATCCTATTTAAATAGAGACCATTTCCGTAAAACAAAAGAAAACGTTACCCCCCCCCCCCCCCCCCACCAAAAAAAAAAAAAAAACTTTCCCCCCCCCCCCCCCAATGCACTTGCGGTATTTTTAAGAATCTCCAGTTACCGCAGTTGTCCGGGAATTTTAATTTGTGGTGCTGTTCAACTCAGTGTTACACCATACATACTTACATTTCATACCCATAAAAATAAGTGTTGTGATTGATGCACACCATTGTACCTACCTGTCCCAGCCATGATGGCAGGATTGTCTTTTGACGCCCTCGGCATTTTTTCCGATCAATCCTAAGCTCAGTAATGAGATAATTTTACACTTCATCAGCCATGCTGGATTCAAGGTGATCTTTTGGTAAATATGTATTTTAATGTAAAGGCGGTGTGCATTACTATATTTAAGTTAAATAATTTCTGAATGATTTTCGCAAATGATTGAATCTGTATATTTTTAAAGTAATCGACACTTTCAAAAAAAAATTACAAAATTGGTCCATGTGCTTTCTTAAATGTTGAGGCGTGTTAGATTTTGAAGGTCATAGGCTTAAGCCAACTGAACCTTAGGGAAATCCGGTCCTGCACGATTTACTGCTCAGAAAGTCCATTTTAAAAAGTTTATGAAAAAGATCGCTCCTTGTCATAATCACGTCAGAACATTAATTTCTAAATAAGAAACGCTAAATGGGGATTAATTTTCATTATGTTCAGTTCAGGGTGCGTAAAGGGAAGCAACAAGTAATTTATCTAAAACAAAGCTATTGGGTGAGTTTTTCTTCTTATTGTGTCATGCTAAACATAATTATTTATTATTAGTTTCTAGTCATCAAATCCAAGAAATATTTAGATCTAATGTCCGATTATGTCCATATCAAACCGAGATTATTAAATAATTTTAGATTTTAAACTCTTACTAAAGTAAATATTTATATTTAATAGTAATAATAATAATTGGGAAAAACTTGAAACGTGTTTTAAATGTAAGTTTAGTATATAAATATATATAATGGTATTCATAAACTATGTGTGCTAAATTTTTATAAATATAAAATGATGGTTTCATTTGAATCATCAAGAAAACGCCTTGTTGAATCAATTAATGTCACAGTACTTATTCATCATAACGTAGAAGTAATTGCAATATAAAACGCGAAAGGAAATAAAGGTGTCGCGGAAATAACCTTTAGTTTTGTATTTCCGTAAACAGTACCCTTTGCTTTAATAAACTTTGGTAAATAGTTTTATTTGAGTGTTTTGTCAATAACAATATTTAATATATTGTCTCTTAAGTTATAAATTTAGTTTTAAAAGTTTAAAAATTATTAATTATTACCTGCCTTTTATTTTATTGTAGTTTACTTTCAATAAGGCCGAAGCTTAATCCTTTCTTAAAAATGTTTTCTTTCCGTGAAGATGACCATTTTTTTTGTCCCACGAATGAATGGCGCTTTTAAGAACTTCCGCCCTAGGTAGATGTTAAGGGATTTATACACATTACTTTCTCTCGTGATATTTCACCTATTTAACCACCCGAACCACCCTCTCCCATGGCATTTTTTTAGCCGTTAATAGTGTACAGCAGTTCCCTAAGAAGTTGTTAGACTTGGAGTTTGAGTTGATTAAATTAAAATTATTGTAAACACTATTTACAACTGTAACAGTGACAACAGACTGTGTGTGAATCACTGTGAAGTGTCACTTGCAATTCAAATTTGACAATTCTTCATTCCATGTTAATATCATTATGATCATCAAGCGCAAAGCCTTACAATTACTAAACTGACTATACTCTGCAACCCTGATAAAGTAATTGAATAGTTTCACAGCCTAATGTAAATGTGTAGTTAATGGCATGGGTTTTGCCAAGAGTTGTCTTACCCTAAGCACAGTATGCCACTTTTGGGAACCCAACACCGGACTAAAGGAAACTGGTCCAACAGTTGGACCTGAACGATGAGAATGATAACTTTCTGGTTCTTCACTGAGCATTATTCGCATCAAAAACATAATCTGACGATCGATAAGTTAATATCAAATACATTAAAATGAAAATTTCCATTCGTTTTTGATAAAAATTCAACTTACAACTTTCAAAAGAAATAAAAAGAAAATCATCCTTGTTGATACCTCAAGAATAACAGTGGAAAAAGAATGCATGCAAGGTTTAAAGTACTGTTTTTGTAATTGGTTGAAAATGAAATAGCCGTTTCCACTCATTTATATAATCATAATGTTGCAATTAAACGGGACATTTTTCAAAATTTTCTGGGGAGGGAAAATCCCTTCTCTCAATTTCAATTAAAAAAACAAAACAAACAAAATAATTTCTGGGCAGGAGAGACTCCTCCCCCCTCTTTTAAGACAAAAATAAAAAAATTAGAAAAAAAAAACATATCAGATAAATACAGAGCTAAATTTCGAAATATTTTGAGAAACGGAACTATGGCTTATAGTTGACCTGGGGAACCTCCATGACCTATATACCATGGAAGACATTGCCGGCCCTGATACTAACTGCATTTTAGCCCAGCCTGCAGTTACTAAAATTATTTGCAGTTTAACTCCCCCCCCCCCCCTCCCCAACACCCCCTTTAATGCCGGCACCCCAGGTAGGGAAGCCTTGACTTTTGTAGTCCATGTCACTAATTGAACCATTATGTGGAGGTAATAAACTAGGATATCACTAATGATGAGAAATAATAGTACCAATATTAATATTTAAAGTACTGTATAAAAAAAAAAGCTTTTTATATTTAGCAGACTGTACACCACCCCAAAATGTTCTAAAAAAATAAATAAAATTGAAAGAAAAGGGAGCACTTCCTGAGGATTAATTTCATTCTCTTAGGCAATATTCTTATTTTGAAAAACAAAATATTTTCAAATATCAACTTAAATTTGATTTGGAAATTACATCTTGCCCTAAACTGCACTTTTAAACAGGCTGAGTTTAAGTGTTTGCTGAGTGGTCTACTTAAGGGGTTTGCAACCTTTTTTGAGTAAGGAGACATTTATATAAATTTTCTCTGCTAGGAAATTTATTTTTGATCCCAGTCGGGGCAGATTGTTAAATATCATTATAGATTATTTTAAAAAAAGGGAGCCACATCTATTACTTTAAAGAGCCACAGGTTAAAGACCACTAGCCTAATGAATAAAATTTTCATTAATTTTAAAACACATCTCTAACACATAATGAAATCACTCACCGTTAGTGTTCAGTTTTCTTATTATGTTAACTAGTAGACTAAAACTTGACTTTTGCCCTGCAGAATTTGAATACTGTACACAATGTAATATTTTATCTTTATAAATTACCATAGCTACAACTTACACTTAAAAATAGGACATGTCAAATCATATTTGTTTCTTTCTCTCAAATCATAAGCTTAGCTATTTGCAGCATTTTTATAAAATCTTAAAGATCTTGTGTCTTCTAGTGCTCTGCTAGTACGGTATGTATTTGTGTGTGTTATATAGTTTTTAACAAAACCGTGACAATACTTATTTCATATTGATGAATTTGTCACATGTAATATGTTCTTGAGGGAGTGATTATAGTTAACTACATTGCTAACAATCCTTACCAAAAGATCAATTATAAATAATAAGAAAAATAAAAGAAAAGGTCACATATTTTGAGAAACCTCATGCTTTGAAATAAATAATTATTTTGTGAACTTTGTAGTAATTACTGAAAATGCTACATTTGGAATAACCTAGAGCAGTGGCTTTCAACCTTCCTAATGCATCGTGTTGTGGTGACCCCCAACCATAAAATTATTTTCGTTGGCACTTCATAAATATGTGTTTTCTGGGGTTGAGAACTGCTGACTGAGTAGACCCCCCATGTTTTGCCCTAGCTGTGAACCATCCTCAAGATTGACCTTACAGAGTAGGGAGTAGATTTCCTACCATGGATTACTATGACCTCCCCCGCCACCCCTGGGGAAAAACATGTTCCTATGTTTTTAGTAATGTAGTAATTACTATTTTTGTATGTAGGCACTTCATTAGCTGTACAATCCATTCATAATGTAGGTAAATATATTTACAGGAAGCAGTTGTGGGTATTATTTCACTGTCTTCTTAACTCTACCTGCCAATTAATCAATACGCCTACATCCACTAATTAAAATATAAGCAGCACCAACTGAAATGTCCCCAACAATCAGCATTGATTGTTTTGTATGCCATCCCCATGGGACTGATAGCTAAACTCCAAACAATCCATTGTTATCACTGACATGGTCCAGATGTGCTTGTGGCCCCCTGCAGGGCTGTCAGATTGACCTGTGCTATTGTTCCTACCACTGCAGCACACTAGCAGTGGAATGTTCAAATAGGCACAGGTTTGGTGTGTCATACTATACAAAGTTGTACCCAGAGGTAGACATTTTCTATTCTGTTCCTCCTGCATTTAGTTACAAGAGCTTGTGTTAGTTCTAATTTGGTGATTTTTTGGGGCTTTTTTTGTTATAATTTAGAACTGATATTTTATATTTAATATGGAGTTAAAAGAGTGGTTTGAAGAGGAAAAAAATGGTGTTACTTGCAGTGATAATAAAAATTAATTTATTGTTTTCAATCCCCAATTAATTTTTTTATTTTCATTCCTCAATTAATTTATTATTTTCTTTTTCTTCTTCTATATCTTAAGGACCCACGATCAATTTATTGATCATTTTGGCTCCTATGCATGTAGATGGGATTTGTAATGTTTCTGTGCCTGGTGTTGATGAGGAAATTTCACTGATTTCCAGTTCCACTTTCTGAGGGAATCATGCCCTAGGGGTTTGAAGGCTTGAGGCAATAGACACAAATGTGTCTAGTGTTGTCGCCTCAACCGTTCCTTTTAAAAGATTGTTCCAGTCCCTGATTGTCTTGGGCAGGAATGAGCAGCTTCTATACTGGCTTCTTGCTGGTATGAGCCTGAATTGCCTGTCATGGCCTTGTCGCTGTCTATGGGGGAGAGGGATGAGTTTCTGTTTAATACTGGAACAGTGGACCAGCCCATTATTTATCTTGCACATCATGGAGAGCCTGGATTGTCATCGTCGTTCCTCCAATGGTGACTAGCCTAGTACTTTCAGCATGCTGCCAACACTAGAGGTATTCCTGTAGCGGTTTAGGACAAAAAGTGCTGCTCCTTGCTGGACTGCCTCCAACCTGTCAACGCTCTTCTGGGTAAATGGGTCCCAGACTGAAGATGCATAATCTAAAATCGGACGGATAAAGGCTTTATATGCTCTTTCTTTCACACAGGAGTTGCCAATCTTTAGATTTCGCCTTAAGAACCCTAGGGTCTTGTTTGCTTGGTTACATACATTGTTAATATGCTCGTCCCAGCGGACCTCTCTTTGAATGGTAACACCCAGGTACTTTCCGGAGGAAACTGGCTCAAGTAAATGGCCTTTTCATTCCTTAATTAATTTATTATTTTCATTCATCAAGTAATTTATATTTTCACTCCTTTTCTCCACAGTTTTAATTTTTGATTGACTTGTTGATGTGATGATCTTCTGTTGCCACTAAAATGTCACTCGTTGCAGGTTGGAAAATTAAATTTTTTTTTTTCTAACTTCTATAAATTGACATAGGTTATGTGCAGTGTTTGTCATTCATGAAAGTGTGGGGTGCAAATATATATTTTTGATATCTTAATCACACACAATTCAACTGGGTTGAAGCAATTACATTAGGTTTAAATTAAATGACTCCAAAAGTCATTTTTACAAGGTTACTTTTTGATTTGCAATTTACAATTTTTAATGTGTTGACCGCAAATTGTTGAGGGAGGATTGGTTTTGAGTGTTACTTTTTAAAAATAAATATACCAAATGGTATAACTGTTTTTTTTAAACTGAAATAATTTCTCAAAAAGGGATTTAAAAAAATCAACATGCCTAAATATCCATTAGAATTACGTACTTGTTTAAGCATTTGCCAGTCATTTCCAAAAAAAAACAGAATGACTTACAATGGTTAATGTTGTTCTCCTATGTCTGCCACTTACCACCTTGTGAATGGGCATACAGTATCAGCATTGCAAGAATGGATTTCTTTCGGAGGCGATAATGTATTCAAAAGTTGATTTTTATAGCCCATAATTGGCTTTGCTAGACAAGCTGTAGTGACATTACCATGTAATTGTTTTAGTTAGTCTTAAACAAAAAACTGCTGTAAGTTAATTAATCATTTTGTTAACTTTTATGAATGCACAAAATATTTGATGTTGCCGTCAGAGAGCCAAACTGCTGCAGACTACCTGGAGATTCTGCAGCGGAGACTGTGGATGAAAGGAGATCACTCTCAGGATGAAGATCTTAGTTCGATCATTGTTATGCTGGAGAGCCCACTCTTTAGGCAGCTGCTCACACTTCAGGTTAGCACACTGTTATTTTAAGTCTTGCATTTGTGACAGTGTTAAAAAAAAATCCACTGTGAATTCAAGTTTTGTGTCATTGGGTCATCATGTGTCATTGGGTCATCATGTGTCATTGGGTCATCATGTATCATGGGGTCATCATGTGACATTGGGTCATCATGTGGCATTGGGTCATCATGTGTCATTGGGTCATCATGTGACATTGGGTCATCATGTGACATTGGGTCATCATGTGACATTGGGTCATCATGTGGCATTGGGTCATCATGTGACATTGGGTCATCATGTGTCATTGGGTCATCATGTGACCGATTCATTCTTAGTGTATATCATTACACCATCCCATATGAAATAGACAGAACTGGAACAATCAAGCTGTGTTATCAATACCAATATGTTGGAGGCTTAACTAAGAAAGGGGCTTTGACACATGTGACTTGTCGTTTGCTGGCAGGTTTGCCAGCAGTGTCATCACCTTGCTCTTGGAGGCCCCCTTGCCACTTTTCTGTCTTTGTTATTTAGCTGTGCAATTCAAAAGACTTCATTTAATTTTTCTTCAACATTACAACCTAGTCAAAACTCCGGGCCCCTTAAATATCTGAGGACTACTGCAGCTGTGGGCATTTCTGGTTGCGCTTTGTTTAAGAAGTGGTAAAAAAAAATAGTTTAAAAAATTTACAAGTAAAAAAAAAAAGACCTTGCAATCCCAGTGTCAGGTTTAAATTGCCTCCTAAATGTTTTAGTTGCCCAGCTCGTCATAACCAGATAAGACTGCCATGCCGCCTGGAACTAATACAGTTCAATGCTAGTCAATCTTACACAACCCCATGACCAAATGTGTTAGCCAGGGTGCATATTTGTGCCTCTTAATGTGTTCCACCAATATTGTATTTAAAGTTATTTTTTTTCTTTCACTTTTGTGAAAGATGAAGCTGAAATAATTAGAATTAAAATTTTAGCTTAACAAGTGACAAAAGAATTGTTTGTGAATCTTTTGCTGTAGGAGTCCCTTCAGGAACTCGGACATGTCTCCCAGACACACCCACTCACCGAGGACTCATTCGACTTGACATCCACTGGAGAGCTTATCATGAACGAGTCGTCCGATGGGTTCACTCCCGAAAATGTAGCTGACAGCTCTACATTAAAAGTTCGAGGCAAGCCCTTCAACTATGCAGGTAAGACAGTTACCAGGCTTAGACAGCGTGTGGTATCCTACTTTCTAAAGATGGTTTTAAGTTTCATGTATACATTTTTTAAAGTCAAACAACTCAAGCCACGTCCAGACTGTTGTGTATTTAATGTTAATGAGGTTCAATTTACTTCCCTTCTTAAGTTACTTTACATATCTAGGTACTTCCGGTATCAAGCTACTTCCCATGTCAAGTTACTTCCCATATCAAGTTACTTTCCATATCAAGCTACTTCACATATCTAGTTACTTCCCGTCCCATGTGAAGTTACGTCCATCAAGTATCTTCCCATATCAAGAAACTTCCCATACCAAGTTACTTCCTATATCAATGTGCTGCCCATCTCATGTTGATTAAAATATTTAAAGATACTATAAAGACAAAGACCAAAAATGAGAATTTATAAAAGGTTCACATCCAGCATGTCACAACAGATCAATATTTGGTAATTTACCACTTGAGCGTCGGTTATTACAAAATCAAGTTGTTCCAAAATCACGTTGTTCGGTTTGAAGTGCTATTTAAACACTTATTCTTTTACTGAGAAGATAAAATTCTTTTAATGAATCAAGTAAATTAAAACACTTTTGGTGACATTATTCATATTCATTTCAGCACAAAAAAAAAAATAAAAATTTTAAAATAAAAAAATTTTAAAAAAATAAAGTAGGAAAAAAAATTTTTTTAACAAAAAAACGCACAAAACCCCCCCCCCCCCCCTAGAGTTTGAGTTTATATCATCTCCACAAAAACGATTGCGGAACATGAATTTGTTCAAATAGGAAGGGAAAAGCTTGAGGCTTGTGCCAAAATGTTTTTTTTCAGTTTTGGCTTTGCGTGTACCTACTTATTTTCAAAAGCAGCTGTTTGAACAGCAGCGTCATGAACAGCAGCGTCATGTGGATTGACACCATTGTTGATGGGCCGCATTGGAGTGTTGGTAGTTTTCTTGTCTGATGTGGTTTATTTGTTTCATACGCCGCCGATCAGCCAGATACAATGCTTGAGCCTGTAAGGATATATCTTTCTGTGCACTCCTGTCGTGTGATCGTACCTCGGTCTGGCACTTCCACGAGAGAACGGCGCCCTCCACTCTCTCTTTCTATGCCACCGAAGACCCATTTGCTCTCTCTCTCCACTTAGCTATTAACTGATATCAATCCAAGAATAACTGTTTAAATATATGTTCAAACTGGAACAACATGGTTTCTTAATAAGCAACACTGAAGTGGTAGATTACCCAATAGTTTTCCTCATTTTTATTAACATTTAATGTTAATATAAACTATTATTTTTTTTTTCAATGATTATTTTGAGAAGAAAGGGGAATAGGGTAAATTTTTATAAAGTCAGTTATCTTAACTTGGGAACATTGAAACACCTTAGTGAAACAAACATTTGCACATGACATTATGACTAGGGGTGTGCCGGATCCGTTTTTTCCAACCGGATCCGGATCCGGATTTTCTTATGCGAAATCCGCCGGATCCGGATTCCGGTTTCTCCCGGATTCCGGATTTTGGTACTATTGGTAGATACTTCGGTAAGTCAAGGTGGACTACTACTTTTTGTGTATGGGAATTCGCAATCGGCGCCAAAAAATCCGAGTTTTTAATTTTCCGATGTGTGTGTCTATTTATTATTAAATTAGTACTTTCGATATATATTTGAGTTCCGTTCCATTTGGATAAGTGTCTTACGAGAGACGCCATGTTTCTACGCGTTCGCAGCAGGTTATGCAGCTCGCTCAACCTAATTTCGCCATGGGGTTGGCCACGCCCCCCTTTTTAATGGCGGAAGTTGACGATACTTAGGAAATATTAATTTATTATCACTATTTACATCAAAATAATTGATAACTTGTGTTTCAGAATGCATTTAAAGACATTTAAACTGGAATGTTTTAATTTGAGCTTTAACAACCCGGTAGAATCCATATTATAAATGATCAGAATTTACCGTGTGCAACACGTTGTCATTGGCAACCATTCACAGCCACTTGCATAACTGTATCGTAGTACTACCTCAGAGTTTCATTCATAAGAGTTTGCCGTGTGCAAAAACTATTAAACCATTGGTCAGGGAAAGCTTTAATTAATTATTCATGTGCCAAAGTTGAAAGTTTAAACTAAGTCTAAACAGTATTTTAGTGATAAGGCAGGGAATGCGTTGCCTTATATAAACTATATAGTCATTGCGCATGACGGGATTGGTGGAATGAGATCACAGAATGTGGAGATGCAGTCCATGTTAAAAAATGACAAACCAAGTCGTACTTTAAAAATTCATAACTTTAAAACTACAACAGCTAAAAATATGATTTTGGTGTTATAATTCTTTAAAAAATTACATCTTTTCAACTATGCCATTGGTTTATTTTTACAAAAAGTTTAAATTTTCTTATCAAAGTCCCTACACTATTGGCCACTATTAGCGGTGCTGACTCTAGCCTCTGGTATGTACGGAATATTAAACATTAAACAAGCTCAACGCTCGAAACAATCGATTAATGTATCGTGATCGTGTGAAATTCGGGAAAGAGAATTACTTTTATTTCAGATTATGATCCGGTGAGTCACAAAATCTGGCAAATTCCGAAATCCGGTATATTCCGGATTCCGGAATCCGGTTGTTCCGGATACATGTAAATCCGGCGGAACCGGATTTCACCGGATAGTGCAAAATCCGGCGGAACCGGATTCCGGACCGGGGTCCGGCACACCCCTAATTATGACCATGTCTTGTGTCTCAATGTTACCACCAGTTCATGGCACATGATATGACAATGTCCAGTGTCACAATGTTACCACTAGCTGCACATAGTACAAATTAGAAGCTAAAAATTCCTTGCAATTCTGCTTATCTATTCCAGCACCCCAACTGTCATCACTGGGGTACGAACCTGAAGTGGAGCGTAGTATTCACAAATTGGCAGCAGGCAGACCCGTCCATGTCATAAAGCTGGTGAAACAAGATAACATGTCATTGGGATTCTCTGTCATAGGGATCAGCAAGGAATCCAAAAACGAAGAACTGGGCATATATGTTAGAGACATACAGCCTGACGGCATTGCAGGGAGGTAAGTGGCCGAACCCCTTCAATATCATTAAACACATCCGCCAATGGAAAGGATGAGTGTTTATTTAAAACAATTTGCCTCTGTCAGTGAAACACCCCCCCCCCCCCCCCCCCCCCCCACCCAGCAATTGTCCTAATTCTTGATGACAGTGAATTGTGCCAAGTTGATTCAAAGCAATATTTGCTAATTCTATTATTACAGATTGCAACACATTGGTCTTTCAGATGCTGTTTTCCCCCATAGGTTTACGTGTCCCTCTTTTGCTAAATTTTTGGAATCATATAATAGTGCAAAGAGCAAGGTTACCAAGCCAACCTAAGAACCCATGTCTTGGCAAACCTTAAGTTTCTAACAGGATCAGTCTCTCTTTTATATGTAAAACTCTTAGTCTGAACACATCCCACTGTTTCTAAGAGGAAAATATTTATGCGTTCAGTATGAATCAAACCACTTCTACTCTGTGGATATCACTCAAGTGTTCACTAACTTGTACTTGGCTACAGAAAGTGAATGTTTCCTGCGAACGCTGCCCTGGCAAATCATTCCTTATCATAGTGCTTGGCTTAAGCACTACATGAGCTTGAAATGATTCATGGTTGATTTAATTACTTAATTAACTGAAAACTGTTCTAAAGTTACTGCTGTAAACCAGGGGCCACCAAGAATTGATGCTAGTAATGAATTATTGACAGCTGTACTTGCAAATATTTTAAAGAATCAAATTGTAAATGAGGTCAGTTGGCTTAGATTCCCCCAACCCATCCCTTTGTATAGAACTTGGGCCAAGTGCTGTCCTGACCATTGGAAAACATGGGGTGGTGATATTTTGATGGGAACAACACAACAGACTTGATGTGAATGTTTCTCATTTCTTGCAGCCATCTACATTAGTCTTATCAAGCTTGTCAACTCTATCATTGGTTTCCTTTATAACCGGTCTTTGTTTCACATGATATCCTCCCTTGGGGAGAGGGAAGGGGAGGGGAGGGGGCAGCAACCTTTTATTTTTTGTTCTAGGGTAGAGCCATTTTATAAATGAGATCTGCTGAGCAAAGATTGAGAGCCTAGCATTGATGTGGTGAATGATGGTGCACATGAAACCTGAAGTAATATTTGGTTTAGCTTTTGATACTTTAAACTAAACTTATTAAACTAGATGACAGAAATATTAGGCTTTATTTAATTACTCAGTTTCTCCATTTCTATAGAAACATTTTAAAATAATAACTATCACGGCATCTATTTCTTCGGAGCCGCAGGTCGCCGACCGCTGACCTCGCCCGTCCGTCCATTCACGACTTGTCCGTCCATTCACGACTTGTCCTTTACACACTTCAAATCTTTATTCATCTACTTGTTATTTCCCTTTACCCACTTCAATAACTGTCCAACTGATTATTCCCCCCCTCAAAATATCATTTCAACCAACTCGGTCGTAGACGATGGTAGAGCGAGAGCTGTGGCCTCATTTCCCAGTCGCTTCCCTCGCTACCGAACCGAACACTCTTTCTAGTCGCCAGGACTCCATTCAGACCTGAAACCCAAATCAAATTACTTTCGATTTTTCCATCTGGATTTTATTGGTCCATCATTTGTTCTCAGTTGTGCAGCCAGGCACGGGGGGGGGGGGGGGGTGTTTAAGTGTCTAACGACTAATGTTGTTACTTCCCTTGGTCGGGTACACGTTGCACCCTCACATCACTACCAAACAGTGCTTTCCCGCTTGACATCGTAATATACACCCCCAACCACTTTTTATCTCCGATACTAAAATAAATCCCCAGGATCTCCAGGATATTTGTTAAAAGTCTTAATTTGAAAGTAAACTCAGTTATTAATACTGTTTAAAGTTCAATGACTTACCGTTGACCAATGATCCTTTGCTGTGGCGTTAGCTAGTACCCTAAGTATTATTATTAATATCATTGTTAGTCCTTCGCATGCAAAGATGACCAAGGCCTAAGTAGTCGCCTTGACATGGGCTGTATTTTTTTGTTTAAAGTGAGGGAGAGTTGTCAGCCTCGCCCTCTCGCCCTTGTCTATTTGATCACGTGGCCAGACTCAGTCAAGACGACTGAAAAATAGACCAGGATGCAGTATTGGTGACAAACATTTTTAAAATCTGTTTCACTGTTCTCTTTATGCGATCCACGACGGAGGGGTTTGTCGGAACATTCATTGTGTCAGTGTCCTTCAACCTAGGAGACTCCCATCTCCGGGTTTATATTCAGAGTTTGCCTTCTCTTCGATGAGTTGCCACCCAAGGTTAACGAGTCCCATCCAAGGTTAACGAGTCCCATCCAAGGTTGAGTCCCATCCAAGGTTAACGAGTCCCATCCACCCCGGCTGTTGGTTTAGTTTTTGTTTGTCAATACCTTTGCCGGGGATTGAACTCCGGCCCACGGGCTTTGGCTTGACTCAGTTTAGACCGACATGAGCCCCGACGTCTTACCATTTTTAAATGAAGGGTACGAACACCGACCCCCGCCTCCCCTCTAGTACCTACTACATAAGTTGTCTGACGTGCTCTACATAAGTTGTCTGACGTGCTCTACATAAGTTGTCTGACGTGCTCTACATAAGTAGTCTGACGTGCTCTACATAAGTTGTCTGACGTGCTCTACATAAGTTGTCTGACATGCTCCATACAATCGACCACCAAGCTGTTGTTCTTGTTGAACTGGCGGTATGAAAAAAAAAAAAAATAACGCTGTCACATTGGGTTGAAATGTTGGTATCGAGACATGGTTTGCAGTTATGCAATATGAAGATAGAAAAAAAACAACAATTTTCTTTTCTTGTCTGCGTTGCTGGTATCGAAAATTGCAGTTTATTTGACTTTTCTGTGCTGATGGTATCGAAAATAGCAGTTCATTTTACTTTTCTGTGCTTATGGTATCGAAAATAGCAGTTCATTTTACTTTTCTGTGCTGATGGTATCGAAAATAGCAGTTCATTTTACTTTTCTGTGCTTATGGTATCGAAAATAGCAGTTCATTTTACTTTTCTGTGCTGATGGTATCGAAAAAAATCTAAAATAGCACTTTTTAAAAAATTGTGTGAGCTGATGGTATCTAAAATATAATTTTTTTTTATTGTCTGCGCTGATGGTATCCAAATATATATTGATTATTCGATTAGAAGCTTGGGGGAAGAGACGCCGTTGTCATATCTGGTGAATACAAACTGATTTGAACAGATTCTAAACATGGGAGCGGGAGGGGGCGATCGTTGGAACAAGGGACTCTTCTCTGGTGACGCAATCATGGCAACATCGCTTAAACAAACTGTCAGATGACATTTATTGTCAGCCGGAACTGTCACGTTCAGAGTCGCATTACTTTTATTTATCATGCTCTCTTTAAAAAAATAGACTGATAGATAGTCTCTTGTAGAGTCACCGCGATAGATAGTCTCTTGTAGAGCACCGCGATAGATAGTCTCTTGTAGAGTCACCACGATAGATAGTCTCTTGTAGAGCACCGCGATAGATAGTCTCTTGTAGAGTCACCGCGATAGATAGTCTCTTGTAGAGTCACCACGATAGATAGTCTCTTGTAGAGTCACCGCGATAGATAGTCTCTTGTAGAGCACCGCGATAGATAGTCTCTTGTAGAGCACCGCGATAGATAGTCTCTTGTAGAGTCACCGCGATAGATAGTCTCTTGTAGAGCACCGCGATAGATAGTCTCTTGTAGAGTCACCGCGATAGATAGTCTCTTGTAGAGTTACCACGATAGATAGTCTCTTGTAGAGCACCGCGATAGATAGTCTCTTGTAGAGCACCACGATAGATAGTCTCTTGTAGAGCACCACGATAGATAGTCTCTTGTAGAGTCCCCACTATAGATAGGCTCTTGTAGAGCACCACGATAGATAGGCTCTTGTAGAGTCACCACAATAGATAGTCTATTGTAGAGTCACCGCGATAGATAGTCTCTTGTAGAGTCCCCACTATAGATAGGCTCTTGTAGAGTCACCACAATAGATAGTCTATTGTAGAGTCACCACAATAGATAGTCTATTGTAGAGTCACCTTGATAGATAGTCTCTTGTAGAGCACCACGATAGATAGTCTCTTGTAGAGTCACCGCGATAGATAGTCTCTTGTAGAGCACCACGATAGATAGTCTCTTGAAGAGTCCCCACTATAGATAGGCTCTTGTAGAGTCACCACGATAGATAGTCTATTGTAGAATCACCTTGATAGATAGTCTCTTGTACAGTCACCATGATAGATATTATCTTGTACAGTCACCACGATAGATAGTCTCTTGTAGAGTCACCACGATAGATCGCCTCTTGTAGAGTCACCACGATGTGATTGATAACGAGGCAAATGTTAAACGAGCTGTCCAGACAAGGCGATCACGGGGGTGTGATGGGGTCTGTTTGCTCGGACAGGGATAACATGGTTATGGTGTTGTTTCATGCAGATTTGAACCCTTTCTTCTTTTTAGTCATTTACTTTCGTGTGGCCCTCGGTCCTGAATTCGATTTTAGAGGGAGACGCCTCTGCCACAGTCGTTACCCAGCACAACCATTTCTTTTTACCTTACCGGCTTACTCTCTTACAGTTTTCAAAGGTAATCCGGTAAAGCCCGCACGTTATTATCTAACCAGCACTTGAGATATTTGTTTTGTGCTGTAGTATCAGAACATAATTTGAAACCAAGTCTTCCAGCCAATAGCGCGGGATATGTTTGTCTCATTGTTTAAATAAGAAAGGAACCACGTGTTATTTTTAGACCTTAGGCCTCGGGCACGCAGCAGTAAACCACACAGTTATAAAACCATTCAAAAGTTCTTTTAAAACAATATATATAAAAAAAACAGTTATAGCTCGCAAAACATTGTGAATTTCCCATCTACTAAAGTTACGTGACAAAACATGAACTCAGGTAACGCTAAAACATAATAACATTAACAACGCCATTTCCCATACCAAAACATACGTCACAGAATAAAAAGCATATAGCAAGAGCTACACAAATAATCTCAGCA